CGTATCCTATCACTTAATCCTTGTTGTAGTAGTTGTCCTGCTGGCCCTTTCGCTCAGATGTAACACCTCCACTAACACCCTGCTCCCCATGGACATGCTGCTTGCTTCCCCAGAAAGCCTCCCGCTCCTTGAGAACCTCCTGGCCCCAGGCCTTCATCTCCGGCAGCGTCATTCTGGTTGCGACGTACGCAAACTCGCCAAGGTCGATTTTGCCCTCACCGCGCTTCTCATACTCCACCATCTGCAGCAGAAGCTCCATCTTGTCCACGTCGTGCACAAAGTGGCTGTCCAGTGTCTCAGAGTCCTCATATTCCTGCCAGATTGCGCGGATGTCCTCGCCTGTGGTGCCGCCAGCGACGTTTCGTAGCAAGTTCTTGGTCAAAAAGTCCATCGTCTCCGCTTCGCGTCGGCTCTTCTCGGGCTTGGGAACGCCGTCGACGGGTGTGATATCGCCGACAAGTAGCTCTGCCATATCGTGAATGAGACACATCTTCATGCACTTAGGGAGGTCGAGTTTCGGGGCGAGAGAGGGAGGCGCAAACATGGAGATTAGAGACATGCGATACATGTGGTCGGCGATAGACTCTCCCCTATCGCATGTTAGTGACGTCTTGGAGCCTGTAGACCTATTTTCCTTACCTAGAGATACCAAATCGCCTCCATCCTTCCCGCTTGGTAGTCTTGAGTCGCTCGAGCATGTGGAAGAAGGGGAGCGGCGAAGAGGAGTCCTCAGTAGGCGCACCACCAGGAATCTCCTTGACCACCTTGTCAACGGTCCATGGGTCAGCGACCTTGACCATGGGCGTGAACCCCAGGTCTCCAATTACTTCTTCAGGACGAAGATCCACACGTCCATTCTCCTTCTCCGGTTGCGAGCCCATCTTTGCAGTAGAGTACAGTCTGTGTCGTCGCGGGGTAAAAGCTGAGTTGCTGGTGCAAGGTAAAGAAAGTGGTCGCAGCGAGTTGAGAGTAATTTTAACGGTACGAATCGTTTGCGGCAGTCGCATACAAACAGAGATGGTCATAACAAGCGTACAATTGACAAAAGGGTCATGAAAACAAACAAGAGCCTAGAGCAGCAGAAGATTGTTGGTTGAGCGGGTAGTTTGTCAGTCTAGTTGGTGGGTTTGTAGTCTAGGTTTGTGCCAGTGCGGAATTGATCAATGGTCAGCTAATGGCCCCGGTCGTTTGGTGCGACATATGTCATTTTACAGGGGTAGAAGCTGGGATCTTGTCTCTGTCTTGGTGTGACTACAGGGTAGCAGCACCACAATCACTTACACGGTGTTACAGTGAGCTTTGTCAACTGGCCATGTTGTGAATTGCAGCTCTAAAGGGAGTTTTTCTATTTCGAATGGTATTCAAACGCTAGGTAGGTACTACATTTATTTGTCAATAGTGGGTTGGACTCATCAACTCGCTAAGAAGTCTGGCTGCTAATCTCGGGAGCTTTGTGACAGTAACAACCAAGTTAGTTGTTATTGTTTCTTCCTAGGTACTACAAGAAAACTCTCTTCTAGGGCGAGCCGTGTTTCGTCATAGAGCTTACAATGTCAAGATTCTTGAAATCAAATAACAGTACGTCACATTAATTTTGTAGGTCTTGCTCTCAATGTTTCGCTCCTTAGAGTTAGGAGTTGTCTATCTTGGATTCGTAACAGAACGACAGGGAGTAAAGTCTAGCACTTGGGGTCTCCAACATAGAATCTCACTGATCCATAGGAAAGTATTGAAGCACAAAATTGACCATGGAACTTCAAGCCCATAGTTAAGCTTCGGTTGAGCCCTGATTTGCTTTCTACGCTGGAGAGCACCATCACCAACGCCAATACTGACCAGAGGAGGAAAAAAAACCTAGGATTTCGGTCCTAAGCGATAATAAAATTTAGGTAACTTAGCATGAGTTTAGGATATCATTTATTGAGTTTATTTTAATACCGTATATCAAAATCCTATATTTTCTTGCTCCCCGAGGATTGGTCACGCACGTGGGGGGTTCCGCCGCCAAGGACCAAAAGTAGATTTATTTAGCTCCGCCTCAGTCAGATCTACATGAGCCTCATCTTGATCCATTTCGGGTACCTTTCCCAAGTATCCCAACCTCACTCCCGCATGCGAATCTTACAAAGAATAGCCGCGCCTTTTCGTCCCCAGGCTCGCCCAATGACAACAATCGCTTCACTCAAGCGGCTTTCAGCCAAATCCCTCTCCGAGAAGATTCTCGAGGAAGTCAACGCCACAGATCCCACGTTCGCTGTTATTGATGTCCGTGATAATGGTGAGTTAGCATTCAAACCCTTTTTGCGAGAAGAAAACTCATTCTCGATTCAATTTGATTCTGTGACAGCTCAGCTGACTTTTCCAAGATTACATTGGTGGACATATCAAGGGCTCAACAAACATCCCCGCACATACTCTCGACGCCATGATGCCAACTCTGGTCCGTCGCCTGAAAGACAAAAAGACAGTTGTCTTTCACTGCGCACTCAGTCAACAGCGGGGTCCGAGTGCGGCACTAAAGTATCTGCGTGAGCGGGATGGTCTTTTGAAGTCCATGGGTGAAGACCCCAAGGGAGAGAGCGGTCAAGATGTTTATGTGTTGGACAGGGGATTCTCAGGATGGCAAGAGGTTTACGGAGAAGATGAACGATTGACGGAGGGATACGTTAAGGATTTGTGGGATAATTATTAATTTATTCAGAGCTAGAGTTGATTCTTCCGATAGAACCCCTACTTCCATCTCATGATTCCCATTGTGTTTTGAACAAGACTTTTCGAGAGACTGGACCAGGCAAAGAGAGTGAGGGCAACCAAATGATGACCTCTAAAACAATAGGGTACTGTGATGAGGTGATGTATATCCGTCATCAGACAGAGAGAAGATGGCCCCCATTCCGCTTCGTGTCTGACTGGAAGAAATGTTAGCCCAATAACACTGATTGTGAAGAAGAGTCTACTTACAGATACGTCATGATCGCCGATCAGCTTAAACCATTGCTTCCATCTTCTTCAGCTTGCGGATTTTTAAGAACATAAGAAAGATGATTACAACGAGAACGCCGGTCACTATCCCGAAGACCGCAGTGCGCTCTCTCGCGTCCGCAGGGTTCGACCACCAGGTGAACCCGGTTGAGTGATCGACTGTGCCGTATTCACCCTCGGAGGGATGGTAGTATCCATCCCCCTGAACATCCCGAGTCTGGGGTTGATACCCGTTACACAGGTTGATGTTGTCTGGCAAGGGTGACATGGTGAGGGTAGTGGATGATTGGTGGGAGGTCGGATGTTCTGATGGTCTTGGTGGATTAAAGAGAATAAGAGGCGTGGTTAGATTTGAAACAGCATAGGCATTGATGCGGTCGATGTGAGTGAGCTTTTGATCCAAAGGTCGAAAAGTATAACTGATTTGGAGGGAGGAGTTCGTAGAACTTGATGACTTTATATCTCCTGGATGCGATTGGGTCAGCCGGAGGGACTTATATAGTTACTTTCTTCGGAACCACTTGCAAAAGCTTCCTTCGATACTCTCAAGGCCTATTGAAGCTTTGGGCAACTCGAGAACCCAACTTTGAACACGGCCGTGAGCTACTCCTCCATAATTGGTCAACCGGATAGGGCAAAAGAAAGCAACTTTCATCAAAACTCACACCCAAGTATTATAAAATGATGCCTTTTTCTATGACATGTCCATGTTTTCCCTCCCCAACAGTCAAACATTTGTCAAGCCGATTCTCTAAGTCCGCTCGGCATAACCAGCGTTTCTCAAACCTCAGAACCCTCATCCTTCAAAATGTTTGTTTCGTCATACGACAACATCCCTAAGGGGTCACCTCTGACTGGTTCCCTCGACCCTATCCCTACCAAGTCTCGTCTTCCTGTTCCCACCAAGACCCCATTCGCCCAATGGATACCAGACTTCAGGACTAACAGGCGGCCACTGAAAGAGGTGTCAACCACAAAGGGAGACGAGAAGTTGAGGCCTGGTCACAGTGCCCCCCCAGCTAATGTCAAGTTCCCTTCACCCAACGATGCTGTGCGCCCAAGTCGTCTCCCTACAGTTAGTGTCTCCCACATCACCGGCGCTTCTATCCGTCCCCCTTCTCTTCCTGGCAGAATCGGTGTTCAGACTAGCCGATCTGACGAAGAACCGTCTGCCCACTGCGATGGTCTCCTTGTATTTCTCATCATACTTCTTCTTCTAGGCGTCTTCAGTGGATGTCTCCTTCTCATGCAGTGTGCAGGAAGCCTTTTGAGGCGTATTGGTCGAAGATTTGGGTGGAAATGGGTCAAGAGATCCGACAGTGTAGATCTCGAGAATGCGATCTATCACTTGAAGGATTGTCCAGGCGCATTCGAAGAGCACCATCTCGTCTTGCTCCGGGAAGTCTTGGCAGATTACGGAGATTCTTCGTATGTTCGAGCAGGCGAAAAGGCTGCTGAAGAGGGCCGACTGGATTCAACCTACTGCTCATCTCTCCCTGAACCTCGGCCTGCTCGTATGGCCCCTGAACACTCCTTTCACTGCTCCTAGTCCAGAGAGCCGTGCGCTCCTAAGACTTACCCTCTGAAATGCCCATAGCCAAAGATTCGCGCGATTTGATCATCTGGTCATCAGCTGGAAGAGGGTTTGCTTTCTTCGCTGTGATTGGGTAAGCTTGGGAATAACTCTGCAAAAACACTTGTCCATGGCTTCGTGATTGGAAGGAACTAGGCAGCCAAGAGTCTATACTAGAAAATGGAAGTTAGAAATGTGCGAGGACCAGAAAAATAAAAGCTTTAGCAACTTGGACTTATCTTCTCATAAGAAGAATCTTCAGTGAAGTAACTCAAATACCAGCATTAACTTGCCTGAGCATTAAATTAACCCTGATAGGCAACTCGGGCTATATAAGAGAATCAGACTCACTTCCATGACAGCATCATTCCTTTCCCTAATTTTCTATTACGCCTCGACTTGTATCCACGAAGAAACGCCTCTATTCTCAATCGAACGAGACATCATGGGCGCAGACACCGTAGTACTAGGGTGGGCTATACTCAGCGTTGTCATTGCTGTCGTCTACTGGATTTGCTATTGGATCGCCTATGGCTGTAAATCGAAAAAACAATTTCAGGATGAAGAGCAAGGAGATGTCGTGGTAAATCGGGAGGAAAACTATGAAAGCATTTTCGTCAACCCCCCCGAACAGCCTATACCGTCTTACACTTCAACTTCCCTTCGCGGATCTCACGATACTGAGCTTCCGCCTTACAAGCCTATTGGTACTCCTCCGCCTTCCTATATCCCAGCATACAAGGCGCTTCAACCAGATTCAACGTAGCCATCGCGTGGATGAGGTGTCCGAGCCCATGATCTCACCGGCTTCGAGGCTTGCGCTTTGGTGTGGGTGATCAGGCCTTGGAACTCTATCATTTCACTTCAGCCACATGCGCCTCGAGTCAATAGAAGTCTCACATTGCAACTCTCGTCACTTACTCACCGAATCATTCGAATCCACGACATATATCATCAAGGTTATCCGCCAATACATTCCCCCCCTTTTCTACCCAACTCAACTTTCGACTGGCTCACCATCAAACAACCTCACAGTCAAAACTCATTACATCAAACATCCTGCCAATAGCATCTGATATACTGCAGCTCAAAAAATACTTGATAACCTTCGTCACTTATACCATCCCTACCCTTATCACTTCATCAATCACGAGACCAAAAGAAGCCCAACATGAACGTCCCTATACACTATCAGCCTCACCAATCAAATGATGACCCTTCAGGAATGTCCATCATTTGCATCATTTCCTGGACTATTGGTGTCATGGTAACAGTCGGTTTTATCGTCATGTTCGCCAAGTGTCTCATGGGTCGTCGATGCCCGCCATGTCCGCCTCCAACGACACCAGGACCTCGGAGCCAAGGACCTCTATACCCTGGGCCCAGGTACCCTTTGTACCCTGAGCCTATAGGTATTGCACCTTCAGGCCCTCCGCCTCCCCAAGCATACGAAGGCGATCTTGAACAAGGAAGCATCGATGAACGTGCCGATAGGACCGCCAACGAACGTGCCGTTGGAACCACCAAGGACTCGGAAGTTATCAACCAACCCCGTGTACCACCACCTCCATATTGCCGACGATGCTGATATACATCTGTTGGACCATGCTGCTACTCCCCAGATGCCGAGAATTGCACCAGGCATTGCCTATGATGTAGTCTTATTTGAAGAAACACACTCTATGTTGGGGGATCGGGTAGATATTAGCCAAGTTGCAATTGGCTTGGATCAGGAGGCACATGAAGGTCAGGAGACTAGGCACATCACTGTAGAACTAGTCCAATGGATGAATTCAGCACACAAAACTATGGACTGGTGAAACTCTAAGACTGCCTGTGAAATAAATACTAAACTTTACCCTTAACTGTCTAAGTATTTATATACTTAGGGGCGAGTTCTTATATCGTCTTATACCTGTATATAGGTCCAATAGCATCTAATTGGAGACCCGAAAATGAGTAGCTAATTCTTTAACATTGTACTGGCGACATCTATCCACAGAAGCCTAACATATACTACATAATTTCCAGCAAACGCTCAGCGCCAATTCCATTCCTCGTCTTCAAAAGGGTATTATAAACAGTAAACAACCAGATCACGCCTTGCCCACCCATCCTGAATTAATAAAGAAATCGAATATGCGCCCTCCCTTTTGCGAGTCCAACCTACATATCTCTTTTGCCTGCTTCTTCTTTAACGTGCCATTTGTCTTGAGAGCTTCCTTGAGGATCTGCTCCTTGATCATGAGATATGGCTTGGGCTGCAGTCTGATGATCTCGCAAAGCTTGACCTCTTCTGGTGTGAGGAGGTGCAAGTCTGGGGCGGTGTCCTGGGTCATAGGCATTGGTTGTACGCCGGAGATGGGCTGGGCCGTGTATCTCTGCTTAGGAGCTGCATAGCCATTTACTCCATTTACTCCGTTAACTCCGTTGGTCACTCCATTGACCTGGCCATTTGTTTGGCCATTGGCTAGGCCATCAGTATGACCATTTGTTAATGGCTTTACATCGCCATTGAGTTCCGCAGCAGGCGTTGGTAGCAGTCTAGCAGGAAGTTCGGGGGCGATAAGAAGAGCAGATCCACTCGGTGGCTCGGGAGGAGGAGGTTGCTTAGACCTCTGTGCAGATGCCAGTCGCTCGCGATCCATGGAACCCATGGGAATTGCCTTCTGGATCCTCGAAGCTTTCTCGTTCTCGTACTTTTCACCACTTCGAAGGTCACCGATACGCATGTTCCGCCACTCTTGTAGCTGCGTAATGGCCTGTCGTAGGTTGAGTTCATCGAGAAGACCTTGATTGAGCTCCTCAAAGTCCTGCTGGTTCATCATGCGGGCGAATGGCTTGGCCTTCTGCAGCAAATCCCTTTCTTCCTTGGTCCGCCTCTTCTCCAGCTTTGTGTTCTCTCTATATTCAAGAAGGTTATGCTCAAAGATAACCTTTTTACGCTCTACACGTTGTGTCAGTCGAGCGTTGTAAATGTCCATCACTGTAAGCTTGAGTTCCATTTCAGGTTCAAGCTCGCCTGTCCTGGGGTTCAATCCATCGCCTGGATCAAACTGCATAAGTTGGACAGCTTCTTCTGCCTCATTTGCATATTCGGTCTCAAACTCCAAACGACCAGGCATGTATCCTTGAATCTCGTGGCAGCTAGGTACACTAGCTGTTGGCTTTGTTTTAGGCTGTAGAGCGGGCGCGTTCTTAGCCGCATCTCGTCGCTCTTCTATTCGTCGCTTCTTGCGTGCCTGAAATTCTTCTCTGGGTATTTCGTTGGCCAATTCGCAATCATGAGGGCTACAGCGTTTGGGCAGTGGAAAATGAGGCGAGTCGACGTAAGTCGATAAGTAGTGATCGCGAACCTCGTCCTTCTCACGGAAGCCGCCAATATGATCTGCGATATCGGCCCAGGAGCCGAGACCATATATTTCGGCGCCCTCAAGGAGGAGTAATTCTTCGTCGGCGCCCCATTCTTTCTCAAAAATGGGGAATGAGTTTTGTTCAATCACACGAAAAGAGTGTGTCGCAGGGTCGTGAGCATTTCGTGATTCACCTTTGGCGAAACACGAGACGCAGAGGTCGAAGTCACTGCAGTCGGAGTCGGCGCATCGGATGCGGACCTAGGTCAACACCAACATGATTAGCAACTCCATCATGACATCGCATTGAGTTTAGCCGGTATATCTCCGAAGCGCGTCTTTACGTTTCCAAACAAGCTTCGGGCAACAGGCAACAGAGCAAATGACCTACCGTAGATGTAATATCTGACGAGCACACATCGCAAACGTACTTAACACCACCTTCACCACCTCTTGTGATTGTTTTCTTGCGTATCACACCCATATCGCCGGCTGCGATGTCGGGCCGGGAGGTTCGTCGTTACCCCCCCTGTCTAGAAGTAGCAGCGGGTTCGAGGCAGCGCAAGGCGCGATGGAAGCGCAAAAGAAGGAATTTTGTGATGCGCGATTGTTGGGGGCGATGACGCGACGCGAAATTCGATGAAAAATGTCGGCTTCAGGTGGTTATTGATGGAATTGGTGATGGGTCGATTTGTCGAGGGGCGGATGTTGTTGATTATGGCGTCTACGCTTGCTCTGACAGGAGCTGGCCTGGGACTGAAGTGCACTGGACCTGAGCTTGCAGGGCGCGGATTAGGTCGTTTCGAATGGGGAGCCAGTATCCACTAGCAGCAACCCCACGCTTGAATCATCATAGGTCACGTGGAAGAAGTCCCCCCGGGCCGCATATCCCCGCTTTGGGCAAGTGACGTGGGAATGGCCTTCAGACTCGAGTTCTAAATAGTTGACAGAGAAGTTTAGACAATAATAGGATATTTTATGATATCCTAGCAACAGCTTAGCTGTGCTATTTGACTCTTTTCATTTATTCTCCCATCTAATGTAAGGTCTAAGTCTTCTGGCATCTTCAGGCCCCGTTAACGAGCGTGACGCCATCCCCCATTATTGAATCTCCACAGTCTGGAAGTGACAAACTCATTGCTTTACTGGAGTTCTGTCTGGTGAATCGTGATATAAGCTCTGAGCCACAGATATCAACTGCAAATAACACATCTGGCTCACCATTCAGGCATTGCATAACAATGCCGACCAATTGCTACAGCATAAATGCATATAAAGAAATGCGACAACTATATCAGCTCGTTTAATCACTTACTACCTTACTCACCATTCTTACTCTCGATATATTTGGAATATGGCAATATTTTCAAGACTGTCTCGTTTCTTTCGTCCCTCACGAATATCTCGTCCACCGCCGCGTCCAAAGCGATTAGCACCACCGGCAGACTCTCAACTAAACGGCCAATACCCATCTCATGAGGAAATGCTTCGATCCATGTATAAATCTGCAGTTGCCCGGGATGCCGCATGTAAGTCTTTCCCCTAATATAGCAAACCAGTAACTCACATATCTGAGATAGACGCCAAAAGGTCCTGGTTCTCAAAAATGTTCGGACCACCACCCGGACCATAAAACTTTGGACTGCGATTCCAAGTCACAATAAGACTCGGGTAGGTTGCCATGATTCTAGGGTTCTTTTTTATGAATCTAGGTTGACATCCTTTCATAAGGTCTGAAGCTTTCTTACTCCATGATGACTGGTGTCCCAACTGTGGAGATCCAATATTGGGGGCATCTGGTTTGGGAAAAAGACTCCCCCGAAAACATGGCCGAGAATATCACCGTTGAACCGCGCCATTCAGAATCCCCGGGGAGTCTTTGTTAGTTAGCTATCTATCTTTTTTCTTCTATCGCTAGCCTCGGCTTCTAGCAGTAATAAATTAAAGCTGAACCCTTCTCTAAATCTTCCTTGACTCTCATCAACCCCTCATTCACTTTAAATTGTCACCCCACTATCATCATGCCTGATCAAATTCTTGACGACATTTCTCACCGTCGATACAATCCTCTTACGGATTCATGGCTGCTTGTATCACCTCATCGCACGAAGCGACCTTGGCAGTGAGTTTCTCACGCTTCAATTAGGAATTGTCTGACATGAAATAGAGGCCAGCAAGAGGCCGCTGTCGCATCAAAGCTTCCAGAATATGACCCCAAAGTACGCCCATGACATCACATCATAACGACCCAATCCCCTGACAAAACCAGTGCTATCTCTGTCCCGGTAACCCACGAGCCGCTGGCGACCAAAATCCGAATTATGAGAAGACTTTTGCCTTTGTGAACGACTACAGCGCCGTCAAGCAAGAGCAGCCAGATTATGATGCGAACGCCTCATCCAATGACCTGGAATCTCTTCTGCTTCAAGCTCAGGGGGTCAAGGGCGTGTGCTACGTGCTCACTTTCTCACCCAAGCACCACGTCACACTTGCAGACATGACAGCTGAGGAGATTGTTCCCGTCATTGAGCACTGGACTCGAATCTACGCCAACCATCTGACACCGTCAAACCCCCGGGCCGCTGAAGCCGATAAGTTAGCCATTTCCATGCCAAAGGACGCTGCACCTTCTCCTGAGGAGCAGTATAGATATATGCAGATCTTTGAGAATAAGGGTGCTGCTATGGGCTGCTCTAACCCCCATCCTCATTGCCAGGTCTGGACTACATCAACCATGCCCGAGGAACCTGGCAAGGAGCTCGTACAAATGAGCAAATACCGAGATCAACACGGCGGCCGACATCTCTTGGGCGACTATGTTAAGCTTGAACTCGAGAAGCAAGAACGAGTTGTCTGGGAGAACGATGCTTTTGTGATTGTATGCCCCTGGTGGGCTGTGTGGCCTTTCGAGGTTCTTGTTCTTCCCAAGCGACACATCCGATCTCTTCTCGACTTTAAGCCCGAGGAGCGACTCCAATTCGCCGAAGCCATCCAAGAAGTCACCCGACGATACGATAACTTGTTCGAATGCAACTTTCCCTACAGTTCTGGTCTTCATCAGGCGCCTCTTGACGGAACACCAGAGGAGTTGGAAAGCGCATATTTCCATATGCACTTTTACCCACCTCTGCTGCGTTCAGCCACGGTCAAGAAGTTCCTCGTTGGATATGAGCTGCTAGCCGAGCCTCAACGTGATATCACTCCTGAGCAGGCCACAGTTCGGTTGAGGAATTGTGGAGGAGAGCTATATCGCAAGAATCTATAGGCATAGAGCCCGGGCATTAAAACATTAAAATCTAAACTTTTTATCTAACAACAAGTTGCCGTTATGCCGATTTCAAGGCATCTAGTATTTGCCTGCCATGTGTATATTACATTCACCGCCACTCACCAGTCGCACCACTTGTCGCATGATTTAGTTATACTCGACATAGTAGTCACGGACAAGGGGCATCCAGATAAGAGAGATGGAAGCCAGAGTGAAAGGGAAGTACTGAGGGAGGCCAAAAGTCATGGTCTTGAAAACGAAGAGCTCACTGGCAAAATGCCCCAGGGCGACAATGTAAGTCCAGTAAGCAATGGTGTAAACAGGACCAATGTGGAGGTTATAAGCTGCGTAGCATCGAACAACGCAAGTGATAAGAGTCCAGGTACCGAAAAGTCTTCCAGCAAGGGGAGTAAGCTGATCGGTAGCCTTGGGGTCGTTCTGAGCGGGAACAAGCTTGTTGATCTGATCCTCTGGCTCGAACTTGTCTGTCTTGGGAGGGAGCTTGGGGTTGCGGACGAATTTGCCGTTGTAGACTCGTCGGGAGAAGTGTAGGGTTGTATACGTCTGCAGCGAGTTTCCGATCGAAATGATGGACAGCTAGAGCGAGGGGTCAGCATCTTATTTGGTTCTTGGGTGTAGGGGGAGTGGCTCTTACGATGATCATGTAGTAGGGTAGAACACCCTTTGCTTCGGGGAGGATAGACTTGAGAATATCCATTTCGACGAAATTGAAGACAAGTGGAATCGAATAAGCGGGAATCAGAGAATCTCAACAACTGTTATTGCGGTGGTTGCAATGCAGTTGTAGAAGTAAAATGGCGGGTTGAGATTGGTGTAAGACGAGCTGGATGGTCGGGCTGTTTTTGGTGGGAGAGAGGGACCTGTAATCGGGGACCAAAGGCCGGAGAAGCTTGGACCAACTCAACAACGTCAGGGGTAATACCACCTAAAAATTCAATTCAATTAATTGTCCGGCCTGAGAGCCAAGACCCAGTTCAAGAGCCGAGGGGCATCCATCCATAGTGTATTTATCTTGTGATTGTCGCCTTTTCTTCCTTTCCTCTTCCTTCTCTTCACATAGGCGGCTTGTTTTGTTGCACTCTTCAAATATGGACGCCATTACAAACTTCCTCCATAATGTACCGCAGCCTCTTCAGTGGGGTCTTGCTGGTATTGGTGCTCTCTTCTTGGGATCCAAGATTCTGAGCTATCTCCAGCTTGTCCTCAGCGCTTTCGTGCTTGGAGGCACCAACGTATGTCCTTTTACAACCCCCAGCTGGACTCCACTAACAATCCCGTCTATAGCTCCGCAAGTATGGAAAGCCTGGCACTTGGGCCGTCATCACCGGTGCCTCTGATGGCCTCGGCAAGGAATATGCTCTGCAGCTCGCTGCCAAGGGCTTCAACCTCGTCCTCGTTTCCCGAACCCTGTCCAAGCTCGAGAGCCTCTCTGCCGAGATTCAACAGAAGTACCCTGGAAAGGGTCTGCAAGTCAAGGTTCTTGACATGGACTTCTCCCAAAACAACGATGCCGACTACGAGCGTTTGAGCGAGCTGATTTCTGGTCTTGATGTTGGTATTCTCATCAACAACGTTGGCCAGAGCCACAGCATCCCCGTTTCTTTCCTCGAGACCACCAAGGAGGAGCTTCAGAACATTGTCACCATCAATTGCATTGGTACTCTCCGAGTTACTCAGGTCGTTGCTCCTATTCTGAAGCAGCGAAAGCGCGGTCTTATCCTCACCATGGGATCTTTCGGTGGCTGGACTCCTACTCCTCTCTTGGCGACATACTCTGGTAGCAAGGCTTTCCTCCAGCAGTGGAGCAACGCACTCTCCGCTGAGCTTGCTGACCACAAAGTCGATGTCTACCTTGTCCTGAGCCACCTTGTCACCACCGCCATGAGCAAGGTCCGCCGCCCTAGTCTTCTTGTTCCCAACGCTCGCAACTTTGTCAAGGCTACTCTTGGCAAGATTGGACTCGGTGGTTATCAGACTGCCCCCAACACTTATACTCCTTGGTGGAGCCATGCTTTCATGCTGTGGTTCATTGAGAACATTCCTGGTGCTAATGGTCCAATCACTATTTTCTTCAACAAGAGGATGCACGAGGACATTCGACGCAGAGCTCTCCGCAAGGCTGCTCGCGATGCTAAGAAGCAGTAAACGAAGGATGAAATAAGAGAAAGGAAGTGAGAAGCCAGGGAATACTAGGAATATAATCGAAAAGGAGGAATATAACAGCTGTGGAGGTAAACTCAGCTGTCATGAGAGCTAGTTTGTGGTATGACAACCGTAATGTATACAGATTATGCAACCGCCTCAAAGCGTGAAGTACAGGGTCAGTAACGTCAGACATTCCTTCATGTTTGCCGTGCATATATGGCAACGTTGGCTTGCGGAACAAAGAGACCTGTGCATTGTACTACCTGAGCTACATGTATTTGCCCAGGAACAAAAATTATCATATTCTGGTGTGGATTTGTCTAAGTACCTAGAGCAGAAAGGTGGATCAAGAATTTGCGTGCTAACAGACCAGTACATTGGCTCAGAGAGTTAGTCGTTGGATGAGTATATGTAGATATAATTAATAAGTAAACAATTACATTGTCTTCAGCTTCATTAATTTTGTAAGATTGATTCTCAGTGATTTAGAGCTTTCATGACGCGTGGTTACTCTGCTCTCAGCCTTGCACCAAAACGGTCCTAGCGCCACGCCCCAGTCGCGAAAAATCCGTGCTCCATATCCAGCCTCCCCAAGCTCTCGTCAAATTGTTTATCACCTTCAAAGCGTACTTCTCTCTCTATAGACTCTATCTCAAACCCGACGACGACGCGACGAAAGCGAAAACCCCCCACGAGGTTTACCACGCTATTACGAGGGACTGGGATATTGATCGCAATTCCATCCACGCGCCTTGAGTCCGTCACTTTTGATGATCCGCGATCTGCCTACAGCGGTATAGCAACGAAATTGGTGAAGCTACGCAGGCCCGCCGAGGGCTTCGATATTACTGCCCATAATGTCGTTTCCACAAACAACTCCGGTCCGGCCAGTTCCAGGCGCCTTCTTGAATACGCCGGCCGTCGCCTCGAGGTTTCAGTCGGGCTCTGATTCTGTGCGCCGACAGCTCTTCACTGGCAACGATAGCAACCAGGCCGTCTCGCATAAGAGCTCGGCGCCTGTCTCGTCATCGCGAAGTGTCACAGCTACTGCGCCATCTGCACCAAGGGCAACTAGCAACGATAATCTGATTGTCCCTACTGCGCTGCCACCTCTTCGATCCGAAAATGTCCCCCCCGTTGTCAAGGCGGCCAGGGCCATCAATGCCTGTCTCCAGTCTGATGGCCGGTATCCCGACTTGGATTCATACTGTCGACGTAGGTTACAAGAGATTGGATGCGAAGAAACCAGCTAACAAGGACCAGAGGGCGCGTCGTCCGACTACGACCTTGAAAATACCGATTCTGCGATGGCCCCCTTCCACAAAACTCAGATGTACCCCATTCCGAACCAAGTCTTCGACCATTACAACGCTGGCGAGCTTCAGACTCTGATGGGACTCTTTGCTGAGATCAACCACGCCTGGGTCGTTATTGATAACTCGCTGTTCCTATGGGACTACACACACCCTGACCCCGAGCTGATCGGGTTCGAGGACCAACCACATACTATCCAAGCTGTCGCGCTCGTGCCTCCTAAACCAGGCATTTTCGTCAACACCATCACACACATCCTCGTTGTTGCGACTTCTTCAGACATTGTTTTGCTAGGTGTCTCGGCCACCGCTACCCCTTCAGGCTCCAAGACAGTATCTCTTTACCAAACGAAAATGCAGCTCCCCCTTCGTGGTACCGACGTCCGTGTTATTACTGGATCTGCCAACGGTCGAATCTTCTTTGGAGGAAGCAACGACATCGACATTAATGAACTTTACTATCAATCTGAGGAGAAGTGGTTTTCAAATAGGTGCGGTAAGATCAACCATACGAATCCCGGCTGGTCCTCAGTTGTCACACTGCAAGGTGGATTCTGGTCTCATAAGACCCCCGAACACCTTGTTGATATCGTGATCGACGATTCGAGAAACCTCGTGTATACCCTCTCGAGCCGATCGACCATCCGAACATACCATATGGAAGGCCCCGACCGACTGAACAAGGTTATTGAGAAGGAGAAGGTCCACTGTCTTCGCGACATTGCTCACATGATCAACCAATCTAGGTTGTTGAGTGACCAAGTCAGCATTGTCTCGATCAGCCCTATCTCCAAGCAGGAAGCGGCCAAGCTTCACTTGATGGCTCTGACAAACACCGGGTGCCGTCTATTCTTCAGCGCGACCAGTGCTGCATCCTACATTTACGGTTCCTCGACAAACCTGGCACCCCAAAGTATGCAGGTCCAGTTCATCAAGTTCCCTCCTGGACAAACCTCTCGTCGGTCTACTTACCCTGGTTCCGAGTCGATCACTGATTCCGAATCCACCTCGCTGTCCTACAGCCGACAAGGTGCTCGATTTGCCCCTGGATATTTCTTGGATTTTGTGAGCAAAGAATCTAATCCCAATGAGGATACCCTCTTTGTTTCTGGACCTGAGACGGGACGTCTTAAGAACACGTCCCCGACATCTCCTTTCAAATACCATGAATCTGCCAGCTGGATTGACATTGGCAGCCGAGCTGAAGCTGTTGGATTAATCACAAAACCTTTCGCAGCGGCACCACAACCACTTGGCTTCGGTAATGAGTTGGCTGTGCAATTCGACGATGCGCCTAGCGAATTCGCAATTCTCACCAACACTGGTGTACACATCGTTCGACGAAGGCGCTTTGTGGATATCTTTGCTTCTGCTATTCGAGGTGCTGTTGGAGATGAGGGGTTGGAACTGGTCTGCCGCCGCTTTATTAACAATTATGGTCGCGTGGAGACTGTTACTACCGCTCTGGCTGTTGCTTGTGGTCACGGAGGTGACTCTAAACCTGGTGCAGCTCGTGCTATCGACCAGGCAACTGAAGATCGAGCACGATCCGTATTTGTCGACTTTGGTGGGCAGCCTACGATGGCCGAAACCGACAGCTCATCCCTTACAACCGATTCCATTAACCTCTCGTCCCGACACGACGCTCTAGCTCTGTATCTTTCCCGACTGGTACGCCAGTTGTGGAAGTCAGTAGTCATCGCTCCGGGTGTTTCTCCTAATGGCGGTGTCACCATCGGTTCTACAATTCCCCTTTCCAAGTTGAATACTGTTCAGGAGAACTTGGAGCGTCTAAGGAGGTTCCTTGATACCAACCGTGGCCTCATCCAAGGCTTGTCTGGCCCATCTGACCTCCAACATGTATCTAGTCGCCAGGAGGAAGTTGCTCTTCAGGCCGAACATCAAGCCCTTCATGCTCTTCAGAAGCTGATGGAGAGCATCTCGGAGGGTATCTCGTTTGTGCTTATGCTATTCGATGAGCGGGTTGCTGATATCTACACTCGCCTCGACGCTACAGCTCAACAACAACTCAAGGAGCTGACATACGAGAAGCTCTTTTCTCAAACTGACGGCAAGGACCTTGCTAAGCTGCTCGTTAAGGCCATTGTTAACCGCAATATCGAGAGTGGCTCCAACGTTGAAACTGTTGCTGACGCCCTTCGAAGGAGATGCGGCAGCTTCTGTAGCCCAGATGATGTCGTTACTTTCAAAGCCCAGGAGCAGCTTAAGCGGGCTTCTGACCAACCTCTTCAGACCAACCAGTCGCGAAGCCTACTCCATGAGAGCTTGAGGCTCTTTGAGAAGGTTGCTGGTAGCCTCACTTTTGCCAACCTTCAGAGTGCTGTGGAACAGTATATCGCCCTCAAGTACTATGCCGGTGCTATCCAGCTGTGCCTTGTGGTCGCCCGGGAGAAGGACAGGGGTAACACAGCTCTGTCCTGGGTCAACGACGGCAAGCCCTCCGGAGACCCTCGTGCCAATGCTTTCAATGATCGCAAGCGGTGTTACGACATGATCCATGACGTTCTGAGTCACTTGGACGCTGCATCAAGCAGTGAGCCTGAAATGGTCGATGGCAGGCTGACGTTGATTGCTACCAAGAGGCTTGAGGCCTACGAGGTGGTGAACGGGTCGGATGACGAGGTGTTCCACTTTGACCTCTATGAATGGTACATCCAACAAGGCTGGACAGATCGAATTTTGGCTATCGACTCACCCCACGTTATTACTTTCCTCCAGCGACTTGCTGGTACAAACATTGAGCATGCTGACCTGCTCTGCCGGTTCTACACCAACCGAAGTCGATTCTTTGATGCAGCCGAGGTGCAGGCGGAGCTTGCCAACTCCGACTTCCCCATCAGTATCAAAGACCGAATCAGATTGCTCAGCTTGGCCAAGGCGAATGCCAACGTTTCAACGACTGGTGTTAGCCGACAGCAACAGCAGCTGCTGAACCACAGTGTCACAGAGCTGCTTGAGATTGCCCACATCCAGGATGATCTCCTGGAACGTTTGAGAGCTGACGACCGTATCGACCCTGAGAGAGCCCTCGAGATTGAGGAAGCTCTCAAGGGCAAGATCCAGGGACTCTCCGAGGTAGGTTTCAACTGTTCTCCCTTAGCCAATGATGATTACTCACATGCTGCAGCTCTTCAACGACTATGCCGACCAAGCCGGTTACTACGACCTTTGCCTGCTCATCTACCATGTTGCTGATTACCGCAACCATATGACGATTTCGGGTACATGGAGCAACCTGATTCAACAGACACACGATGAGGTCATGTCTCGCCTAGAGAACTCAGAACCAGGAATGCCATCGCCCCCTTTGCCTTACGAGTCTGTGACCAGCAAGATCCAAAACATCGCCCACCGCACATCCCTCGACAGCTTCATCTTCCCCATCCAAGACCTACTTCCTGAGCTCTGCCGTTACGCAGTGGCTTACCAACAAGATGCTACAATCGGCGCTGATCCCACCTGGCCCGTCCAACTATTCCTTACGTTGGGCGTCTCGCATGACATGATTGTCCGTGTTCTGGAGGGCGTTTTCGATAGTCAAGACTACGGCTTCAGTGGATCTGTGCGAAACCGCATGATTGAACTCATCGTTTATGTGGTCAACGACTGGGTGGCTGAAGCCCGTCGACGTGGAGGTGCCGGAAAGGGTGGTGCTATTGGCCCCTCTGTAGCCGACCTCCTCAAGAGATGCGACGCCGCCCTGCCACCACCCGGACATGGAAACAACGCCGGCGGTGCAGACCTTGCTGATGTCAGGCGAGTTCTCAAGCTGCTGAAGAGAGAGGTGGATGGTTTGTCACAACGGGTTCCGACGGGAAGCCTCAGATTTGCATAGGTAGCGAGCTGAGGGCATGAGAATGGATGGAGAGAGAAGCAAGCATCAGTGAGTTAGAGTCTAGAGAATTGGGAAGCTTTGAGTAGTTGGTAGTTGGGGGTGCGCGGCCACATGTTTTTGTCAAGGATGATGGATATGCTATGCTATAGGCGCCAATTGTCATGAGGGTGCGTTGTACTGTACAGGTCCAAAGGGTTTTTCTCGTTTTTTTTACACATGTAATTATTAAACAAGACATGGGGGGTTTGATAAAAACGGCGCCCCTTTGAAAAGAATGGAAAGAAATGCAACAGCGAAGCGATATCTTTACCTACCTATATCAGGCTGCGTCTCATTAACAGAGCGGTGTCGCCGACATCCCCAGTGATATTGTCACCAGCACTCTAATGATTCAGCATGGGTGTACAGTAGCACAAGGCAACGACAGTGTATGCAGCGCTACGTTGACTGCAATGCCGCTCGCCCTGTATAGTGAGACTTGGAGGCGGTGGGAGGTGGTATTGGTGCGTGAGGCCTGCATGGTTGTTCGCCTCACTTTGGGGGGACAGGACCAGGGCGAAGGGCAACACGCCACGCTTGAAAGCGAGTCGTAGCAAAAGGGCCTCACTGCGTTTGGAGCGGGCTTAGGGGATTGTTTTGGGGGGCGAGGGAATTTGGATATATAAGATTGAGAGGCTGTGGTGTTGTTGTCAAGGCAGACTTCAACAATCTTTTGTCTCTTAGTATGGGGAGCAGTATTTTATAACTCGGCTCTCGAACACCAAACAATTTCTCTATAACACAACTCGTCTCGACGACTTGACATTTACGACTCCAACTTCACTATGACTTGAAACACTCAACGACTTCTTTCCTTTCCTCTGTCCAGGAGCTGGTCTCCTACATACAACCCACCAACGCAATGAATCATCAGCAATGATATCAAATACGTTTCACCACGCTTCGAGCGTGAGTCTTTAACCCAGCGCAAGCAAGCATAATAAATAAAAAATACACGAAAACTGCTACGCTGGGTACCACGTTCCAGACCAACCGTTCGCGAGAACCTTCAACTGCACAAACATCGCTTGGGTTGGTCGGCCATACTACCAATGCCGGGATATGGTTTCAAAAAAGGGGAGAGCATTCTGTATTTCAGTCCAGGGCGGGGATGAAGATACTTGATGGGAAAATGGGGGAGGTCATTCTTTATAGATGGGAGGTATTCTGGGGGGAGTGCCATAACTAGAAGGGTTAGTTAGATGGGGGTGGAGGGCAAAAGCGGTCATTTTAATGTATTCTAGAAGATACAGTGTCGTTCGTTTTGTATACACTTAATATTGTATTATATAAAATGTGTATTAGAGGGTGGCTGCTTTATTAAGTTGTTCTTCTTTATCACAACCAATTTGTTTCTTGTTTCTAGTCGTCAACATATCTTGAGTTTTAGCATGAATATGAAAGACCAAGCTCCTATTCCTCTCAACCTTGGACTGAGTTACTCAACTCGCCCAGTCATACAAATCACCTTGAACTCAATACCCCATCCCTTGCCCTCATGCTTCTCCACCAAATGCCTCCTCAACAACTCCTTAACCTCCTCCAGCGAATGCTCCCTCTGCACTTCCTCACTCCACCAAGTCTTCATCAACCAGCCCAGCATCATGCCAAACTGCAGAATATAATCCTCCGCACTTTCAATAGTGTAACTGTCATCGTGCGCAGTCACTTTCACATCTTGAAACCCTTCTTTCTTTAAGTGTTCTTCGATCCATGCGGGGTTTGTCCAGTCGCCTTGATCGTGCATTTGCATCTTCATGACTTCGGGGAGTTTGGCTTCAAAGGGGAATGACGCGAATGCTGTGCGTATATCGGGGAGCCAGAATGTGTTGTCTTTGTGGAATGTTGTTGCGCCGAAGATACCTCCTGACTTGAGGATGCGTTTGGCGTCTGGACATGTTAGTTCTGTTCTGAGGAGTTTCGAAGGAGACTTACCAGCAAGAACAGCATTCGGATCAGGGATGACATGGAGTGCTAGACCAAGACCAACATGCGTGAAAGAATTCTCGGGGAGTCCAGTGTTCTGTATATCTCGTCAGTGTCTGGGCATCCTATGGTGTAAGTCAACTCACCGTCGCATCCAGCTTCTTAATTTCCGTATTGACCCATCCTTCTGTATCAAGCCTCTTCTTAGCCACACTGACCATACCATCCGAAGCATCAGCACATAAAAACGTGCTCTTCTCAAGGATATCCTTAGGCAAAGCCTGCTGGACCGCATGTGTCAAGACACCACTTCCACAAGCATTATCCAGAAACTTCACAGGCATCGAGGTCTTTTCAGATATCCCCATTTGTGTAGGAAGAGGCTTGATTAGGTGTGGCATCATAGTCTTTGAAGCGTACAGCATCTGAGCTTCCATGGTAGCGCTGTCATAGTGCTCTCTCAGAGTCTTGAGGGCGTTTGCGGTGTCTGAGGAAGTCATTCTGATGAATCGAGGGGTTCTTGTTATAATTGGCCGTAGTAGTTTGATCATGAAATTAGTTTGGGTTGTCGGTATCAATATGTTCAGTTCGTGAAGGGTTATATATGAGTCTGTTGGGAAGTTTCCGAAAAGTCACCGCTGGACGGAGACTAACTCGGAGCCTTCATCGGTACTTCCAGAGGTTTCGAATATTTATTATGAAGCCTGCATAATTTAGCATACATTTTATCATAGGGCATTGGTCAACAGCGAATGTTTGTGTGCGTATGCAAGTTTCTTGTGCCAGTTACAACAACTCCCTCCCATCATTGTTTAGAGTGACTCAGGGTCCCGTATCTGCAGATGTTTCCACCAATTCCTTACCTAGCTCCCCATTCTATACTAAGAAAAGACTGCTATTTTTACTGACTCTAATTCAATATCAAAGCATGTAAAGTATTTAATAAAGTTCATTGCAAATGCTTCCCTCTCTTGGCGCTGGAATGAAGTGACACGTGATACACTGTCGAGTCGAGTCCAGGGTGGCATCTTATCTCCACATAGTTAGCTTCAACCAGCTTCAACTCAACCCTCCACAGTTCGCCAAACGGACTTTCTTTCTTGATCGCAATGTTATGATCTTGATGCTTAATAGAGACGCTTCAAGTCGCCGAATAAACGAGGGTGGTTACTCATAAACCACTTCTTTGCGCCCTCGAATCACACCGCTATCATGATCGCTCCCATCGCCTGGGCCGTCGTCGCCCTGGGCGCATTAACGCCCCTCGTCACAGCGAACCCAGAAGATGGTCTTCCCTCATATCACTACGGCGCTCCCATTCCCGTAGAATGCATGAACCGTAACTCGTACGTACTATCACCCGATGGCAGCTACATCTCTAACACGGCGCAGAGAAACTGGCGAACATGTCGAAAACGAAAAGCACGAAATCGAGTGGAAGCCTTTCCCCATCTGCAACGAGACCGGCCGCTCTCTTGAATTCAACTACGGCACAGAAGGCGAAGTGAACTGCACGATAGCCATGATCGACGACCCCTTCTTCCACCTCCTCGAATTCTACATCCACTCCGATGCGCCTCTATCATGTCGTATCCCTGCACGTCCAGCGGCCGAAGTCGAAGTCGTTGGCGAGAAGGTCCCCGAACGCGAATACGTCCCTGTTGTTTTCGCTCTCGCGGGCACATTACAACTTAGCCATATACATATCAGCACGCATATGAACGTGTTACTACATAGCACACCGAAGCACCATACTCATGTTCACGACAGTGGTGTTTTGGATTCAGCGATTGCGTATAGTACTAGTCCGCTGCATCATCTACAGGGCTCGCATACACGAAAATTGGTCATTGGCGATCCATTACCGCTGAGCCTTTCAGTGCGATGGTTCCCTACACCAGCGCTGCCCAAGACAGAAGGAAAGGTAGAATGGCAGGGCCTAGGCGGTCATATTTACGCGAGCACTGTGTTCTACAGTCTCGTGTCCTTTGGCGCTGGTGTGTTGTGTGCTACTATGTACACTCTTGGTGTGATTCTGCCCAGAAGACTCAAGGGACGAGCTCTTGGGGGTGCGACGCCGCTGGGATATGGAGTGAACACTATGGGCAATGGATGGGGATACTCGAAGCAGAATAAGAGAATGGACTGAGGTCCAGGTTTTTATGTATAGTGCATTTATGGAGTCAGGGATGGATATGGGATTTCTGCAATGTAGAACAGTAATGTGAAAAGCCGGAGGCAACAGTCCACACCGACTATCTGTCATGCAAATGCCGTTCTGTGATTGTGTTCTCTATTGTGTCTTGGGCTTGATATCAGTGCTCACCCGGCGCAACAATCGTGTGTACATATCAACAGCCATAGCACCCGCTTGATCTCATTAGTGAACATCCCAACAAACAGGTGGGAACTTACGAATAAGCGCATAGGGGAAATACGTCCCCCAGACCAAATTCCTCTTATGGTCCTCGCTCACCAGCTCAGGCCCCATCTCCAACAGCTCAGCAACACAAGCCACAGAGCTCATGGCCGTCAAGCAGCCGTACGCCAAACCAGCGAGCTCAACAGGTCCAGATGAAGGCTTCTTAGCAGCGAGGTTCCGCACGATGTAAATAGCCAGAGGAAACTGGACAAAGATCTCAATGAAGAACATGCTACGGAACCAGGCGCCGTGGAACTTGTCTCCGAAGAAGGGGTCTCCTGAGAAGGAGAGATACTGTTCTTTGACGTTGGCTAGGAAGCGGAGAGGGGCATTGGGCGCAGAATAGATTGCTTCGGGGTAGAATTCAGTGAATTCGAGACCTGGGGATTGTTAGTGAGAGCCTTGGTTCGAGGTGAGGATGGGGTACGGACAAATCATGCCGATGAGTTGGAGTGAGATTATGACTAGATAGACCCAGTCGCGAGCTGCTTTTTGTGCCATTTTGCAAATTAGAACGAGTCAAGCGACATATAAATACAATACAAGGTGGTAATTGAGACGACGTTATACTGTTGTTTTTGTGTCAATGGCCTCTGGCTTTTGGTGCATGAATGTTTGAAGAGGGAGCTTGGTTGGGAAATGAAACATAATTCGGCGCCGGACCCTTGTTTCGTCCGGGCACATCCGGCCGAAGGTGCCCGTCACCAATGAACAACATAACACGGGCATGGGTGTAACACAGACTTTGAACGGCAGTTGATATTGATCATTACTTTGGGTATCATTGCAATAAGTGTTTTCAGGTATCATCGAATACTAATACACGCAGCGTCAATCGCGCTATTGAGCTGCAACAGTAGCAAGAGACTTATCAAAAGCCTCCATGTCAAACCCGTTCAACAATTCCGCCCAAAACTCATCGTCAAATTGAAGATTGGTCGCCCAGTCTGGATTGCTCTGCAACACACTCAAGTTCTCCACCGTAGTCTGCGGCTGCGGCACCAACAATAGCTGTTCGTCCTCTGGAATCTTGGACAAATACCACTGTCGAATCCATCTGACCTTGAAGGACGACTTTAGAAACACACTGCTCCCATCCTCCATGACCCTGCGTCTCCTATTCAGCCTTTGCGCCTCTTCATCAGCCTGCGCAAACTGATCGCTCAATCGCTGGAGAATATCCTGGAATTGAAGACGTCGACGAGCGGCTTTTACATCCCAGTCTGTAGAGTTCTCGGCCATGATCAAGCGTGAGGCTGTGACTGTTACGAAGGCGAGGACGCATGATACTGTCACGGGGAGAATGGAGATCTTTTCGGGGGGCAGTGTGACGTGGTTTTCGAGGGTGTTTTGGATGGCTTCGAGGCATTTCCAGAGATATTCGGTGCGGAGGAAGGGTTCGGTGAGGGATGTGTCGGAGGATACGAGACTTGAGGGTTTCATGGTGAGGATTGGCTCGAAGAGACGGACGAGGATGGAGTTGTAGTGGGCTCTGAAGCCAGCTGCGACAGTTAGTTTCGGTGCAGCGATTAAGCCGGGAGACGTACGTATTTGCTTCACGATTTCGGGCTGTACTTTAAAGTAGTTCTCCAGTTCGCGATGGACGGTGTCGAGAGCCATGGCGGTTACGGCGTGAAATGTAGGGGGTGTTGGATCAAACGGATCAGTGGATGGTATGACGCTGAAACCCCGATCGGCCAAGTGCTGCATCCGAACGAGAGAGACAAGATATATATCTGACTCAAACTCTCGCGCTTCGGCGAGGTTTTCGCAGCAGGAAGCGAGGTGTGTGCTCCAGTGGAAGATGGTACTCTTTCTGAAGTACGGGCTCAGTCTGGTCTTGTTAGCTGCGCTTCAGTAATTAGGGGGCATGTTGGCCTACAGATTTGTGATGTGGTATACCCCTAGAACTGCACGTTTTTCGGCTGCCGTCTGATGAACCTTCATCTTGAGCGGGTGTTTGCTCATTGACGTCCACGCATCGCCAAGCAGCGTCTTTGGTCCTCCCAGAAACTGTCCAGCGTGCTTGTCAAGCCGTAGATCAATGACTAGACCAATGGCCATTTGTATAATGTTTGTAACCTGAAGCTCTCCATAAAAGTGAAAGTCGTTCCTAACGAGTCAGCATAATCACTTACACTTCGAAAGATGGACTCACCATGCTAGATAGATCAGCATCGCTTGTAATATGTCATTAGACTTCTCCTGCCTCACAACAAGATGCTCAGCAAGATATCTCCTAAACCACGCCTTGAACTCCATCTGCGCTTTATCATTCAGCGGTGAAACAACCGCTAATATCGTCCAGAACATCACTCTTGACTCAACATACAGCTCCGAAGCACACATTGAGCTCGGTACAGGAACGAAAGGAAAATGCGGCACGTAATCTCTGCGGTATACATCAAGACGCTCAGAGGCTTCTTGCTGCGAGACGCGAAAGCCAGGAAATAGTTCAACATCCGTGCTGAAGCGGACGCTGTCGTCGGGGATTTGGTTGATCATGTCGTGGTTGGTAGTGAAGGGGTTTTCTTTGATGTGAGGCTGACATGGAGCGTGGGATTGGACTTCTTGGGGACTTTCTGGTGTTAGAGGGGAGAGGCCTTTGCGCTGGTTTGCGGAGAGGAGAGAGACGATGCCGTCGATCTTCTTCTCTAGTTGAGCGACTCGTCTATAAAAGTCAGTCAATTTTATATATAAATGACTTAGGAGGACTTACGTTGACTTGCCGCGTTTTCGTCGCTGTGTGATCTCCGGTACCTGACAATCAAGCTTCATCCTCAAACATCTACACCAACAATTAGCCAACATTCCACATCAAACATGCTATATCATACCTTGAACACGTCTTTTCTACACGGCCAGAACCGGAGCTAGGCCACTGACACTTCATCTTCAACCTCGCGCAATTCGTACAAGCCCTCGTCTTCTGCACCACATCCTGGCGATCCTGATCCTGACTGATGAGGCATTCATCCATGACTAATTGTTACTTTGAAGAATTCATTCGAGGATGCCAAAAGGTAATAAACGGAAATGAAAAAGATGAAAAAGGTAGATTGAATGGCACGAGTTGAGGTTCAGTGTGATTTACTGATGCGCCGGAGGTAATGATGGTTTATCGGCCGTTAATCCCGGGTTTCGGGGGCTTTTATAACGCCCGGTCATACGCATGTAGCTGTTCCAGGGGGGGGGGTTAGTACCTATTTGGGAATGGAGATCGGGGATCGGGGGACTTTTTAAGGGCCGATGGCCCGGTTGACGACAGATAATAAAACATATCCCATGGACATTGCATCAGAGCAACAAGCCAGACTCAGAATAATAATTGCAATGAAATCAGGTTATCTGCAAATCTACGAAATCTCAGTATCATGTGTATTAGTTGAAGCGCGGCAAGATATATCCATAAACCCGTTGCATGGCCGAGTGTAAGTGGTCGGAGTTGAAGAAATAAAGATCCCGATGCTTCTCGCGTCCGCCATAGGTAGTGCTTACATCAAAGTTGCGTGTCCCCAAATATTAATTTTATCTGGTTCAGGCTTAAAGATACATCCGAGGCGTTTTATTTGAGACTTTGATGATCCCGATCTTGCTTGATCCGTACAACACGGCCCAGCATAGTCTAGATCATGGTCATTCAAGTATAAGTTCCAATGATGAGTACCTTACAGAACATTCGGCCAATATCATAACAACAAGCCTCTAACTCATATCTCAACCGGAGTTCCTGTCAGTAATTCATCTGTGATCTGCAGTGGGTAAGGTATGTCAGAACGGCCAAAACTTGAGCCGTCTTACAGTAGCTAGTGAACTTATGCATCTCTATCACAAAGTCCCAGCCTTTAAACTGATTGGCGGTTACTTTTGGGCATTGATCGCTCCTATTCTGCGTGAGTAAACAAGATAATGAGATAGAGTGGCTGCATCATGGCGAATGAGGCTGGGTTAGTACTCACTACCTACTCAGTGACTCACTGCCCCGAACAAACATTATTTGATATGCATCAAGTCACAGTCATGATATCACATTAACAAGAACAAAGAACAAAGAACAAAGAACAAATGTGGGAAGGCAAATCAATTCCCAACTAACCTATCAAAGCCAACAAAGCAATCAAAATGTCTTAATATCCGTCGCTTGCAGAGGAAAACCTGGCTATCCAGACAGATCAGGATAATCTCCAATTCCGCACTGAGATACATATTATCTTCCTCTTCCACCAACTCCCTGCTTCTTCTTCTTCGCCGGGAAACTCTGACTCCCCAGCTGGTGGTGTCCTGTAAATACCTGGCTGTAGCCCACTACCGCCGTCTTTTTTTGTTCTTTTCTGTTTTAATCTTTTTTTTTGTGCTTTGTTAGTTTTGTAAGGGGATTGGGGGACAGCTAAACTGTTTGAATCCTGGATTCTACAAGTCCAGCCCGGGGAAGGGGAACTTACTTCTCCTTCTCGGCCTCACCCTCATCCTTGTAGCCCTTCTTCTCCGACTCGTCCTCCTTCATCTCCTTTGCTTGCTTCACCTCCTTTGCCTCAACCCGAGTCTCATCCTTCGCATCCTCCTCGTCACTGAAGCCCATTCCGAGGAATGGTGCGACCTCTGACTGGAGGCGAAGAGTGCTTCGACGGTTCGCTCGCTTCTGCTTGCGAGTCAGGACGGTCTCAGAGCTGCGATCAACAGGCTCATTGTCAAAGTTGCCCATAGAGGCGAGGGCTGTGGAGCTGCGGCAACGGGCAGCATTCTCCTTGTTGTTGTTGGTGGTGGTGGTGTTGTTTTGGGAAGACATTTTGGCGGTTTATTATGGTGGCAGTTAATTGTAGTGTAAATAAGAGTGGGTAAGTGAGTTATGAAGAGTGTAGATTTGCTGTGGTGATAGTAAGAGTGTGATGTGATGAGATGATAGATGAGAGAGGAGGAAGGCGAAGGGCCGACTGTATATATACGTTACTGAGACGAGGTGAGTGCCATGAAATATATGTAGTTGTTCAGCTGAGATTGAGCTGTTCCCGGTTTGATCTGGTGTAGTGTATAATTTATCTCGCCTAGTCTGATGAACTGACAGAGAGAAGATAGTGTCCAGACGAGATCATGTGAAATTCATACGTGTATCAGAATCATTCACATCTGGTATCTGTGAACGGATACGTGAATCGATGATACGGAAACAAAAATCGTAGAATATTCGATAACAACGACTCTGTGCATTGTTCATCATGCAAACACAAACTTGGGCGGCCCAGAACCTGTGTAAACGGCGCCTGGTCCATTGGCATTCAGCGTTGCACTTTCAAAGAACATCGGTAATTGGCCAATAAATAAGAACACTGCAATGATCCGCGATGAGATGTGATGCAAGGAGTCGGCCGTTCACTCGAAATTGGCCCAAAAGGGTCGAATGCCAGTCTCACCGACTTGTATGCTACTATATCGAATATCGATCTGCGCGTTAGCGATGCCTCACATATCTTCCAACATTACCTCTGGGCCATAAACAACCCTCCCAAAAAAAGAGTGATATATCTTCAAACTCCTGGCTGATATATAGAGGGAGTTACTAAGCCCTTGGTGTTTCCACGCTGCTCTTTTCACATCTAGGCCCTAACGGGCATACCAGGAGCTAGCACTCACCCATGGCAAAAGAATGTGTCTACTGTAATGCAATAGTTACATAGCATCAAGCAGTATCTTTGAAATCCTTCCATTGAATCCAAAACCGGAAAGGCTTGTTTAATTCTGGGTATAAGTGATTGGCATAAAAGCCTTGTTCACGGTATCATACTGACAGAGAAACTTAATCAGACGAACAATTAGAAATCTTATTATTGTTGGCCTACTACCATCCGGAAAGTACTAATCCCGAACAGGATCAAGTCCTACAGGATCCTTGATCCAACCCTCAGGAATCTGATGAATATAATCATACCACCAGTGCCCTAGAATCTCATACCCCTTTTGCGTTGGATGAACGCAATCACTCAAAAGCGTATCATCAAAAGGCCCAAAATCAGCAGCAAGTACATGAGACCCATTGGCTCTGAGCTCAGCTGCCAATTCAGCAATATGCTGACGATAAATCTTAATCCCCTCTCTCTGAAAATGATACCATTCGTTGTCGCAAACATCGGTGATCATGCCGATGATAATAGTAGCGTCAGGACATTTGGACATCATCTTTTCGACCAATGATCTTAGGCGGTTGGTGGTGTCTTGAGGAATGTTTCCGTCTGTAGAAATGTGACGATTGCTGTTCATGTCGTTTGTCCCGGCGTGAATAAGGATGAGGTTGGGCCGTTGTTCAAGGGATGGGTCAATGTGGTCGTTGATGTACTGGACTGTTTTTCCGGACCAGGCTGCCTATGAGTAAGTTAGATCAATGCTTCGATTTGTGGACTTCTGAGGAACTTACAAAGTGGCCATCTTTCATATCCCCCGTTGTCTTTTCAGTGCCAGCCCAAACGACCTCATTTCCTGAAACAATGTCAGTCAAATTCCACGAAGAAGATGGTGCCATCTTACTACTGAGATTCTTTCCTAGTCTCTTGCGGTATCCATTTCCATCCGTTCCTTTTCCAAAACCAACAGTGATAGAATCACCAACAGAAAGGATCCGAAGCTTGACACCGCCTTGAACAGCTTTGCCAGGTGGCGTGCCTTTGAAACTCAAGAAATCATTCTCTTCTTGAGCGTGAATATCTGTACTCTTCTTTGAATGTGGCCCTGTTTTAGGATTTGCGAAGCCTTTCCTGATTTCATAGGGGATAACTCCAGCCAGAGCTGCGGCTGGGAGGAGCAGGAGGGAAAGATTCTGGAAGAGATGCATGTTGCCTGTGAGTATAAAATGGAGGAAATGGGATACCGGCAGAATTGGAAAAGATATAGATAGATAGATACTGAGAATTTACCTGAGTTTTGTGGCAAGGGTGCCCTAAACTTAACGGGGAACAAAAACCATCAGCAGAGTGTTAACTTTATAGAACCAAAGTCAATGCATTGCACCCGCACAAAGATATAAAGTTCTCACCGGGCTTCCTAAAAGATCACTGTGTGAGGCCATGAGGTGCTGTTTTATCTTAAGAGATGATCATTTCTCATAAATCCCCCTAAAACGAGGCAGTGTTAATGCCGTGTAAATCTGAGACGGCCGTTGAGGGACTGAAGTGAATTGCCCGTGAAACCTTATGCTGTTTATAATCTACCCGCCGCATCTCATTGGCTATGATTATCAGAGCAAAGTTTCGAGCCATCTTGCTGCAGCGTGCAGGTAATTGTGAAACTTACGAGTCAGACTTTCATTGTTAATAGGCCAGAGACTGTGGACGTCCGCATGTAGGGATTCCGCTTATACGACACCACGCCATTCTTCCGAACATAGTGTCCAACGGTGTACATCAGCTTAGCATGTTGGCCACGATGCAGTCATGACTCATACGAAACATCAGATACGAGGCCGGCTCTTGGACCGGTTTGCACTTATGGCCCAGGCCAGTAAAGTCATTTTTGTTATACCGGTAAATCCGTTTAAATTTATTTATACCGATGCTCAATATTATACAAGTTTGTGTCATAGCAGCTCCTAATGAATCAAAGTGGAGACTCGAAGCTGATTTATACATAGAAGGAAGTCGCGCCTTCTGTGTTGTTACCTGGCTCTAACCTCTACATTCACAACTCCACGATGGCTTCACTCGATTGTACAGATGCCTCAATCCTCAAATCTCGACCGAGTTAAAAAGAAACAACAGCAAAAGAATTACCTCGTCTCAACCGTCGGTTTCAATGCGTAATCAGGGAATCGAACCCTGGGCTCCCCGACGCTGCTCGAATGGCAACGGAGAATTTTACCACTAAACCAATTACGCTAATAGAGGCGGTTGAGAACCCAATTGGATGAGCTGTGATCGTCGGAATGAAAATGAAGATCATAGGGGTCTCTCCCTAGTCTATCCAGGTTAGGAAGTATAGCCTAGTTGACGTTGGAACGGCCATCGTCTCTTGAAGACAATACTCCCCCAACGTGTACACACCATTTCACGACCAATTTCGTTCTAGTTTTTATTCCAAGTTCCGATGTCCTCATGGCATTTGCCGTTTCGAAGTCTGAAATTTGGTAGGGGCTTGGCAACTGAAAGATGAGGATTGAAGAGTTGCCTGGGCGAATATCTTGCTTTTGCTAATCTATCTACTTTTATCTGATCCAGCTGGAGATTATCAACCAAAGTACTCAATGACTGGTCTGAAAGAGTGTAGTCAATATCATACAAGGTCGTCAATGAATAGTTTTGCAATATTTCAAGCTCCGCTTTAATATTGTGCAGGTCTAACTTAGTAGAGAATTGACAACTCGCTTCCGCCTTATTCTTCGCGCCAAACTCACAAACATCAATGCCATTCCAATTGATTTCTCATCTTGGCTTTGGCTGTCAGTGTCTCAAAGCCCGGCAGTTGATACGAGGAAGAAAAAGGGGTTGCATTTCGCGGATCTTACTTATCCCGAGCTCCAACGCCCGCACGTGAGACGAGGCTCTCCACCTCATCTCAAGATTCTCATCAATCTGAAGCTGACATGAAAGATCAACATCAATAATTTACACGCAATTGATTCCTTGCGTCTTGATATTTACTCCTTAAGTCATTCTTTTCTCATTTCTTCGCCAAAATGCCGTCTCCGATCGTTGCCGCTACACTCCAGGCTGCGGGCCTGTCGACCGTCTCTAATATCCTTGCCCAGATCATTGAGGCTCGTCAACAGAGTGTGAGTTTGGCAAAATTAGCAGCCTTCATGTCACTTTTCTGAATCGAGAATCTCGGACTTTGAGTGAGTGCTATCATAAAGTCCACTGGCTAATTTCCGCAGCGTCCGGTCTCCCTAGACATCGTCCAGCTTCTGCGCTTTGTCTCCCTCACATTGATGACCGCTCCCCCAAACTATCACTGGCAAGGGTATCTGGAGCGAACATTTCCCGCCTATCCTGCTTCTAGAGGACCCCAGCTTGGGCGTTTGAATGATCTCGAGATGCAGCCTACCGAAGATGCACCCGAGCTCAAAGAGGGCTATGAGGAGCGCATGGCGCAGATCAACAAGGATAGAGAGCCTCAGTTCAGCATGCGCAACACTTTTACCAAGTGGTTCGTCGATTGCATCAGTGCGGGAGCTATCATGAACACGATTGCGTTTTTGATCATCATGGGCTTGCTCAAAGGTCAGGGCGGTTCTCAGATCTGGAGCAACATCAAGACAGTGAGTGACTCGTTTCTATCAGCGGACTACTCTAATATCTTGTAGGAAACTATTCCCATCATTGTGGCTGGCTACAAGATTTGGCCTATTGCATCCATCATCAGCTTCACTTTCATTCCTGTTCATCGACGAATCGTGTTTTTGAGCTTCATTGGTCTTCTATGGGGAATCTACATGAGTCTAGTGGCTTCGCGAGTATAGATCGTTTGCAATGTTCTATCAACTTTCGTTATTTAGTGCTAAGCGAAGGCCAAGATTGGCAGGCTTTGTATTTTTCATGTGCCATAAGAGAAACTCTCTAGTGGTTGAATTTGTTTGGTAAAGATCGCCTAGCCTACAGCCAATTATTCTGTTACAGCGCTAAATCGGAATAAATCTTATTACCATGAAAATAAGAAAAGTACGTTGAGCTGTCTCCCAGGAAGGACGATTGATTCAACAGAATGCGTGGGAATTCGACACCTACCAGCCAAATTGGATTCGTTTGATTTTGCGTTCGAAAATAGCCAAAAGTGCACCTGAAGCAGATCAGTCGTCTAAGTCCTATTAGTTGCAATGATTCGTTGAACGTATCAAATACAGACTATTGTTGTATTATTGTTGGTTATTGTTCGTCTCTTTGCTACATGTTCAGTCCCCCAAGGGGCTCTTAATCAGTGTTCCGAAAACAACTATCAGCAAACACTGAACGACCGTCTCAAACGACAACGATCAACAATTTCCCCCTCTATATAAATCTTTTGTATTCCTTTCTGGCCAGGTAGATTTCTCATCCCTCAACCAACTATCTCAACCACCTCCAACTCACCCCATTTACCCAAACACAACAATCAACACAATCACACAAATCCCACCCTTGAACACACAATTCCACTCAAATACTCCCAATCACAACCGCAAACATGCCTGATTTTCGCCCCCTCTTCTTCATCGCCAAGGTCTTGACCTGCTGTTGCTGCTGCAGTCGTCGCAAGCCTGAGTATGCTCGAGGGTCCAGTCGACCCTACGGCACCGGACATGACCAGCGAACAGGGAGTAGTAGTGAGGAAGTTTCTGACTACTCTGAATGTTCGGTGCCCCCGGCATATCCAGGTGGTCCTATGAACCTCATTCATCCTGATGAATTTGAGCACCCTGACGTGTTGGACGAAGTGCATGGACGAGATGACTTTGGTTTTGACCTACAAAAATCCAGATCTCTTGTGCCGTGCCCTCCTACGCCTCGTCCATCTTCGCCTGCCATTTCTAAGCCTGCTACTACTAGGCCTAGTACTGCTAAACCCGATACTATGAGGCCTAGTACCGCGGAGTCTACTACCACCAAGACTATTTCAGACGAACCTGTTGCTGGTCCATCTGTCATAGCTGAGACTACTACCACGGACCCCGTCACCGAAAAGCCTCTTACTGATAAGCCTGGTACTCCCAAACCTATTGTCGTTAAGCCAATCACAGATGAGCCAGCTCTTGATAAATTTGTCATAGCTGAGACTGAAGCTAGTGGGCTCAGTACCAAAAAGCCTGCAGCTGATGAAACTAGTGCTACTAAGTCTACTGGCCCAGAACCTATCACAGATGAGCTCGATGCAACCAAGTCTGTTACTAACGGGCCTGAGCTTGAAGCTGAACCTGTTGGGGCCGGAACTGCAGAGACCAAGACCAATCGACCCAACTTTGTTAATGTCGACCTTGCGGAAGCTGGTCTTCCAAAGTCTGATGTCGAGGCCAGTAAGGTAAACGATGGTACCACTGAGGCCAGCTCTGACGCAGTTGGTCTTACAGAGAACAAGGACGAGGATAAGGGCAAGGACAAGGTCTCGGAGTGAGGCAGGAGTTGGAAAGGATCCGGCTTTGGTTTCGTTCGGAGTTCGGAGTTGGCTTGGTAGAGGACTTGATGACGATCAGAGTGGTGATAGAACTTAGTTGGCAACACAGGGAATTTGCTTATTTGCTCTGGGTCTCCTTCCATCCTTTTTTGAATATATGAACTAAACCAAAAATTCCCCTCAATATTATTTGTGGCATTGAGTCTCATCACTGTTTTCAACATCGTGGTATGCAAATATCTGCTCGGTGAATGAGCTAAAGTCAGCCTTCTACCAATGATAATTTGTAATGCTACCTTGAGTTAATCTGAAATTAGTAATGTATTTTAGACCTTCTACTATAGGAAGGACACACAATGACCCAAGTCATGAGCAGCGGCCAAGTTGGTCGGGCAAATTAGCTGATAGGCGAATGCAGTGGTTGAAAATGTCGCGTGCATTTTCAAAGCCCCAAGAAACATTTTCCATGGTTCATGCTGCAGATTTTTATGCGGGGTTTAATCTGACCAAGGACCAGGTTATCAGACTGCTCGATCAGGGCATAAAGCAGCAAGCAAAGGCTGAAGTGTCAGAGCCAGTGCCAATACCAGGTTTGTGCATAATGCATTAGAGGCTGCAAGACCCTGCAGCGGGTATCCATGGGTGGTGGCCTCAAAGTGTATTTCAGGCCCCCTTCCAATCCAAATGCCGAAGGTTGGGTAATACAAACATAAATAAATGTGACACGCCAAAATGGAGTGATAAGGCTGAGCTGAGTTGAGCTGAGCGGAGATATCATATTTGTTTCTTTGTTACAGAACTGGCGGATGACGAATAATGAAAACATTCTTATACACTGCTACGCCTCATCTCACAAGGTCATGAGTCATGATATGCCTCTCTTCCAAGCTTTGAGTCAGGAGGCTCACCGACAGAAATTCATGCCACGAATTTGTTGGTTGGATGAAGTCCATGAATACGTTGGCAGTTTCATCTATTATGGATAAATTCAAGCCACTTGATCCACAGAGCAAATTTTCATGCATCCTTTAGTTGAGCATTGTCCATGTCGAGATAACGACTGTATCCAGATATGGAAGCCAAGACACTTCACTATTACAGACATCACAGTAGTAGAGGTCGTGTCAGGAGGTACACAGCAAGAGGATTTCCGTGGAGGAGAGAAAATAGAATATGCAATTTTGGCGAGCAAGTGATGAATGAGATAACGCAGTAATCTTTCAACCAAAATGCGGATATCATTCCAGAAACGCCTATGAAGTAACCCAGTGAACCCATCCCAAGAACCTCTATTCGAAAATTGATATGTCACGGCGATTTACCCGGACACGGCGCATCATTCTGCCAAACTTGATGCACATCTCGTGAGAATTGCGCTGTTAGATCGCGGATTTTGCTATTGATTTGTCAGTCACGTCATAGACCTCAGCCGTGCTGACATACGAGAGCTTTGTGAGATCGACATCCATAGAGACGACAGTAGAAAGATCGGATAGATGATTATTGACCATTGCTTGTTCATGCGCATCAACCACTGCTTGCTGAACCTGCCGGCTTTCCACCAGAGCATCTGTCATCTGTGCCCATGCCTGCGCAGCCTGGATGAGATAATCGCCAATATCGGTGACGATGGTACTGTTCTTCTGGTCGGAGGCGGGTGTTTGCTTGGCCATAGTCCTCGATGTAACCTGGAGATGTTGAACAAGAGCGAGTAACTGCTGGGTAGACTGGGCGTCGTATTGAGGATGTACAACGGCAGCTCTGTTTGGAGTATTCATTGGAGTGAGTAACGATCAAAGAACTAGACGAAGTGGTCGTGTGAGATATAAAAATAGAGTGACAGTGAAAGTGACAGGCGAGGTGTGATGAAAGTGCAAAGTGAGAGTGTTTTACGCGCGGCTCGAGTATAAGACACGGGCACAAACGGAAATATACGTGGACGGGTGGGGGGAGGGAAATATGATATGATCCGAGCTGAAAATTGTCTCTGAAATGGAATGTGAAATTGTGAAAGGGCGAAACGCCCTCCAAAAAAAAAAAGTGTGTGAGCAGAGCCAGCCTTTGTGCTGCCTGCGTTGGGTGCGTGGGTGCGTCTCAGCGGGTGGAGCCACACAAAAGGGGAAAATACGGCGCAGCACAAAAGAAGCAAGTAAATGATGAGATGATGCGAGGGAAGAGAAAACAAGGCCAACACCACCACAGACTCTTGTTTTATTTAGCGCTCTCTACGGAGCTCAGCGTAAAGTTAGAATCAGAGTAGAGAACAGAGCCCACTAAAGCTTACTTATTTAGAGGGAGTGCTAGTTCTTCTAGAAGCGCTTTTGGGGGGGAGGGACCATGTTAGCGATCCATGGATGAGATGGGTGTTGTCTCTTTTCTCTTCTCTCGGTGGCGGGATCGGCAGTGGTTCCGGGGGGTGTGAAGTCAACCGTGAAGGATGAGAAACAGGCCAGCCCAGTAGCCCAGGTCTAGCCCACCTACACCCTCTGTGAAAAAAGGAAATAAGCCGGGACTTGAAAGTGGCATTTTGAGTCGTCTGAGACATCGCCAAGAGAAAGCGGACAGCGAGAGAGAGGGTAGAAAAAACTGACATGTTTAATCTGGCATTACATGTTGACAATGACATCAGTGAGCGATTGTTTAATCCCGAGTATTCGGAGCTACCTATTGGCCCCTCTTCCCCGCGATAGAGCCATCGGCCTAGTCTGTAATGGATCTGTAGATATCGCCAAGATAGTTGACCGAGGAGAGAAGAGTGGAAATACAGTCAGTAGTAATACGCGCAGTGAAACTCTTCCCCCCCC